GGTCGTTGTAGTTATCGTAGTAGTCATAGTTGTGGTCGTTGTTGTTGTTGTAGTTGTTGGTGTCGTCGTCGTCGTTGTAGTGGTAGTTGTCGTAGTAGTCGTCGTCCTAAACCACAGCAATCAGCGCAGCACAAAAAGCAAACAGATATATAAGTTGTTACTAATTGTAAAGAACAAGTCGTTGATTGGTCCCAGTTGAATCCCTATGACCTACTTTTGAAACATACAAATCGCAAAGCAGTGTTTACTATTAGAATTAGTGTAATTTTGCTCTCCGTCTCTGTTAGTTCCAACATAAAAGTGAAAATTTGAATTTACACTGTCTGTGCAGTGGTTGTAGTGGTTGTAGTTGTTGTTGTGGTTGTTGTTGTCGTTGTCCTAAACCACTGCAATTAGTATAAAAGCAACAAAAAAAATGAGTTAAAAGTGCGTCAGATGCCAAAGAGTTAGCACCGTTTGAACGATTAGCGACGAAAAAAGGGAAAAATTTTGAAATTACTCTGTTGCGGTGGTCGTTGTTGTCCTGTAAAGGAAAAATGAGCAAATATTGAGGTGATTAGGTGACTGTTTACTCTACATATAATTAGAGTTAGGAAATTGATTACCTATAATAGATACCTGTAATAGTGACGCTCATACTGAATATCTTAATGCCTAAGAGAAATCTCAAGAAATTCAGCTTTTTGCTTTTTATTATTATTTTTATTATTTTTATTAGCTTTTATTATTTTTATTAAGTTCAATTTATTTTCAAAACCAGTTACAACCTTGAATAGTTCAAGTACAAGCATTCAGCTTCAGCTAAGATTTTTGTGTTTCAAAGTACTGTAAGAGAAATGCGCTATTTTGCTTTTAGTGGACTGGTCTGGGATGATCTGGGATGGCATCGGAATTGTAGCAAATGATGATGAGAACAATATGATTCAGTGTTTCAAGACCGACGGCGCTATTTCAAATGGACTACAGTGGCTAAAAGACATTTAAATGGAGAAAGAAATGAATGATCTTGGTTTTATCATCGATTTATATTATAAATTCAAAGGAAGAGTGCATAAATAGAAATGAATTCGTTTTTAGAAAGCATGTTTCAAATTAAAATGAATCTATTAGCTGACTTCGTGAGTAATATATACTATAATATACTGCAACTATATATAATATATACGTTTTTCTCACTGCTTTATATAATATAATGAGATTGGTTTTGAATTCGAGTTAGCATTTCAGCTGCTGTCAAAAATGTATTGTCTAGTGCTCCGAAAATCCAAAAACAATGTACAATGTTGTACCTAAAGTCCCAGATACCTAATATCAAGGCTTTATGGAGAAGTTGAGGCTATTGTGGCAGACTTTTTTGAAAAAAAATTTGATGTTTCAAAGTTTTTGATGTGAAATGTGATTGAGCCAAAGTAATGATTGTTCAAAATTATTCCCTTTGCCTGTCATCTTTCCTTTACGCCCTTTTCTTCTTCGTCAACAACGTCATTCCACAAACGATGACCACCATGGGACAACTCTATCAGGTTAGAGGAAACAGAAAAGGTCTCTTCTCCCTTTCTAGTATTCTAGTTTCTAGTATTTCTCTCCCTTTCCCCTCTTCCGCATTTCTCTTTTCCACATCTCATTTCCCCGTCTTCTTTTCGATTCTCAGCGCATTTGAAAGGGCTTGTTTTGTGCGAGGCCAAATCATCCTTCCCAACACACAACCAAACATGGATGGAGAAAGTGGGTATGATGAGGTGAAGATTCACGATGGATCGCTGAGTCCGGAAGAGATTGAGGCAAGGCAGTTGGAGGGGAAATCGAGAAGAAAATGGAATAGAATTTTTAGGAATAGATTTTAGTAGGTCCATCCCTTGTGAAGATCCAAGCTTCTTTCTCTACTTACTGTAGGTGTACTCGAAAGTCGCAAAATGTTAATTTTGTTCGTAAACAAAGATTCGCCTGAATCATCAAAAGAATTATAGGAGCAATAGTAATTGAATACACTTGGTGTTGGCTTCAAGGCACAGAAATCAAAGGCTTCAAGATTTTCATAACGAAAAGTTTGAAGTTTCAAAGTTGACCGCTCCACATTGCAAGTCAGTTTTTAATGAAGGTTTGATAGGATTCATTCAGAATGAGTTACTAATGTTTTTGGAACTTTTTTCTGGATTCTGAAAATGAAATTACTATTTACTCACCTGTATCCGACGGGTATGTTTCAATCCCGTTCACGTAGCATCCCTCGATGCATTTTCCGCTTAAACGCAGCAAACAAGCAGATCCTTTTTTAAGGTTGTCCTCAATTAGTTCTAGCTTACCTACAAAGATCCTTCAAAACCAAAGGGCCTTGTTCCAAACGGGAGCTTTATGGGCTTCTCTAAAGCTTTTGATACTGTTTCACATAGATTACTCATTCATAAACTTGAGGGTTACGGCATTTGCAGCAACTTTCAAAAGGTAAATAAGAAAATAATACTTCTATATCTTCCAAGAAACGACCAAGTGGCCAAAAAATTTGGTAGCCTACTTATCCCCTCCCCTTTCTTTCGGCTGCCACAGACAGAAGTGGTCTGAAGGCTTCTTTATCCTTTATCAACTATCAACTCTTTTGAACTTCCACCCAGCTTTAGGTCAAGTCCAATCACATCAATTTCCCATTGAAGAGTCGGAAAAAGAAGAAAAAAGACATCAAATCAGTGCGTTTCTTAGCTGATGATGAGTGAAAATTCTAGGTTCCCTTACTTTTATGCTCTCAAATCCCGTTGGAGGGGAAATCGAGAAGAAAATGCGAGCGACTTTTGGCGATGAGGCGATTGATAGGTTGGCGGTGAAATTTCGATGGGTTTTTGGGGTTTTTTTGTTTTTGTTTACATTCGGAGTGTATTTCGGTTTTTCACGGACTAACAATGGCTTTAGAACATTGTAACACGATTTTTGCGGTGAAAATTGACTCACAGATCAGCTAATATTATCGAAATGGTGCCAGGAGATTGCAATTATCCTAATTCGATTATCGCAATTGATTTTAGAACTCTAACAAAAGCTTTTCCTTTGATTAATTCAATTTGAAACCGGCTTCATTGCTGTCATTGCAGAAGCGAGTCGAGTTCTTCATTTTATGACATCGAATTTCCAAAAGTAAGCCTGGAATGAACCTTTCTTTGTGAAGATTTTAAAGAGGAAAACTTTCAAATCAAAATGAATCGAAAAAATAAACTTTTCGCAATGTTTTCCTGTCATATTGACTAGCTAAATATTAGGTTGATGCATAAGTGTTTTCCTTTCTGCCGTTTCAAGCCAACAAATGCACCAATTAAACTACGGTTGATTTCATTAGAAAAACCAATTATTTTTCTGCAAAATAACATTAAAACGGGTTTAAAAATATTGAATGCCTGGATTTTCTTCTAGAGCCAAAGAATGCATTTAACACCTACCGTTTGCAAGCACCGTACCGTTGATGCATAAGTCTTTTCGTTTTTTTCGTACTTCTGTTAAAAAGTAACAAATTCACCAATTAATCTATAGTTTGCTCTATAAGAAAAAGTGTTTTTTTGTTCAATTTGCATCTTTTTAAATGAATTTCGGTTCACTTTGAAGCAAATTCGAGAGTGAAAAACGCCTTTTTCGTAAAAATCTATAAAAAACTCTACGGAAAAATTGGCTCAATGAATTTCTCTGAAATTTTGGCTATACACCTAACTTTTTGTGTTCTATCTTTTATCTATTGACACGAAGATAGGTTTTCTTTAGCTAAGGTGTCTAAATCGCATCATCGAGTTAGCCCTTTTTGACTACCCGACTTCATACTCTCAAGAAAATCCAGGCATTCAATATTTTTAAACCCGTTTTAATGTTATCTTGCAGAAAAATAATTGGTTTTTCTAATGAAATCAACCGTAGTTTAATTGGTGCATTTGTTGGCTTGAAACGGCAGAAAGGAAAACACTTATGCATCAACCTAATATTTAGCTAGTCAATATGACAGGAAAACATTGCGAAAAGTTTTTCTTTGGAAAATCGATTTTCTAAGGGTTACGGTAGGTCTGGGTAAATAAGTTTTGGTGTTGTCTGCGAGAGAGAGGGACAGCTTCTCGATTTCCCCTCCAACTGCCTTGCCTCAATCTCTTCCGGACTCAGCGATCAGCGACTCGAGCAAATGGCTTTTGTTAGAGTTCTAAAATCAATTGCGATAATCGAATTATGATAATTGCAATCTCCTGGCACCATTTCGATAATATTAGCTGATCTGTGAGTCAATTTTCACCGCAAAAATCGTGTTACAATGTTCTAAAGCCATTGTTAGTCCGTGAAAAACCGAAATACACTCCGAATGTAAACAAAAACAAAAAACACCAAGCCCAAAAACCCATCGAAATTTCACCGCCAACCTATCAATCGCCTCATCGCCAAAAGTCGCTCGCATTTTCTTCTCGATTTCCCCTCCAACTGCCTTGCCTCAATCTCTTCCGGACTCAGCGATCCATCGTGAATCTTCACCTCATCATACCCACTTTCTCCATCCATGTTTGGTTGTGTGTTGGGAAGGATGATTTGGCCTCGCACAAAACAAGCCCTTTCAAATGTGCTGAGAATCGAAAAGAAGACGGGGAAATGAGATGTGGAAAAGAGAAATGCGGAAGAGGGGAAAGGGAGAGAAATACTAGAAACTAGAATACTAGAAAGGGAGAAGAGAGAAATACTAGAAACTACGGAAGGGAGAAGAGACCTTTTTGGAGGGGGGAGGTTGGGAAAGCGGAGAGAGGAGAGAACTTTGTTTGACTCATACAGAAGTGCACTTCGAATGCTCTTCGAATTATGCTCTTGTGCTCTTCGACTTCATATATAAATGTATTTCATCATCATTTTTTTCCTACTTATTTCTTAAAGTTTCTTAAGTTTATTTACTAGTGCTCCGTTTCGATGTGGCACCTTCAATAGCCAATAGTGATAGTCGTTTGTTCCCGTGCTTACTTCCACCGCACATTTGTGGCCGCACTTGTCCTTTACAGAAAATGCACTCGCGCGCTCCACTCGCACCAATCGGCGGCGTTTTCTCGACTTTGCTAGAAAAAAATGACTTTATTTTGAACAATTATGATTTGTGGATAGGATTTTTACTAGACCGGGGAATTTTCGGGACTATAACAAAACAGCGCCACGTAGAAAACGTAAGAGAAACCACACAGATGTGAAGTTGTTGGATGTTTAAAGGAATACAGGCGCGTCGGGGATCTCAAAGTTCACAAACGATCTCACACCGGCGAAAAGCCATACAAGTGTACCAAATGTGGAAAGGTATACAATCACTTCAATACAGGCCAATCCATTGTTTCAGGCGTTCAGTAATTATAGTGATCAAGCCAAACACCAAAATCAAACCCATTCAAATGTGGTGAGCTAATAAAGGAAGAATTTAACAAAGTACCACAATTTAGAAGGGTTTCAAGTGTCAATATGAAGGATGTCCGAAGGCTTACACCGATCGAGGAAGCCTCCGCAAGCACTTTAGAGGGAGTCACGGTGATAAGATGAATGAAAAGAAAAAGAAAATGAACAAGTTAATGGAAGCTGGTAAACGATGGCCGAAAAAGGTTTAGAAAAAATACAAAATTAATTTTAACATTTTAATATTATGATTAAGAGCAAGAAGGGTTGTGGCTCAAAATATCGTGAAAGCAACATCAGGCCTGGCTCTGGAGGGCGAGAAGGTGAGACGAGTGCGAAAAATGGAAACGAGAAGCCGATCAGTGGGCTTCGGCTCAACGTTGAAGGATATCTCACTGCTGCTGCAGAATTGGGAGAAAGTTTGTTGCGAAATTATTTCGCAAATCAAAACACTTGATTTCAGTCGCAGAATCGGAAGCAATTGAGCTGGGACTTCCAGAAGGGAGGCGTGAAGGCAATCAAATCTACAGAAGTGCCAACTTCGGGCCGGTTCGTCAAAAAGAACGTTCATTAACAAAGCAGATTTAGCTTTATGAACAAACTGGACGCATGCGGGTTGCTGGCTATGAAGAAGATCAAGACATAGCTGAGGTTGTTAGTGTAAAATCAATCAGTGAGCAAGTTCGAGCCAAACACCAAAACGCCCATTCAGATGAGGTGAGCTAATAAAAGAAGATTTTAACAAAGTACCACAATTTAGAAGCGTTACCTGCGCGGTTATCAAGGATGTCCGAAGGCTTACACCGATGGACAACGATGGACAAATGGCCCTGACTCGGCAGGACCTTCATCGGAATTGGAATAAATTGGAATAAATTTGACTGGAATAAATCTTGGAATACAATGTCCTCAACCAAATAATCCACTACAAAAACAATCAAGTAGCTTGTCCAACAACACTCTTGGTGGCTATGCTGAACAAATTCCAATTGGTGAAATGCAACTACAGAGAATGCCTCTCCAGCCTGGGCCCAGCAGAGAGCCCGAAAATGGGGTGAGTGAGTTCATATTTAAAGAGTATGAGTTAATAAGGAGCTTGCCTTAAAAAATACGCTTCTCGGGAAAGGGTTTTCATTTCAGCAAAACAATGAAAGAATGAAAATAGCTTACTTTAATTCTTCAGCTTGATTGAATATCTTTAGAAATTGAAGAGTTTAAAAGATATAAAAATAAAAATAAAAAGTCATATTTGACTGTTTTTCTCAATTCTAACTTTATTTTTCCTCATTAAAACAATTCTAGAATGTTAAAGTAGTTTAAAACTGTCAAAGTTTTAAAGTTTTTGCTTTTGTTTTGTCATTTTTGATTGCTTTTGTTTTGTTTCAAATCCAAAAAAAGCTTTTTGAGTAAACAGATTTTCAAAATATTTAGTGTGAGTTTCAAAGTAATTTAACTTCAAGCTAAAACCTTGAGTTTAATGGTGCTGGGCCGTCTTTACTTAATTAAAATAGCTTCTTTCTAGCCTCAACTGCTTCTTTCATTACCCTATTAAAACAATTCTTCTGCATTAGAATTGTAAGTTTCAAAGTAATCAACTACAACTCAATTTTGAGTTTAAGAGTTCGTTTTTTTCGCTTTTTCCATTTCCCCATGAAAACATTGCCGTGTTTGAACGAAGCGTTTACAAATTCGAGCACTTTGTTCAACTTACATGGATTTCTCGTAGCTCTTTCAGGTCGACCCTCAACTGATCCCTTTCTTGCCAAATGAGAGTTTCTCTATAATATATTACTCTAATAGACTCAAAAAGTAAATACTCTAATAGAAGCCCTACAGAAGCGTCGCGGTCCAAGTTTACACTCAAACAATCTCAACACAACACAACACTCGAGTATTATCATCTTTTAATAATTTTTTCTAAGCGCTCGTTGATGTTAAAAAGATGTGTTATATCTCAAAAAATCACTTATTTTCTCTCTTCAAATGATACCTAGGCGCATCGAAAAATTTAGGTGTAACAATTATTCTATGAGGCTCTAGAGGCTCTAGATAAGCTCTGGAAGCTCTAGATAAGTTCTAAAGAAGCTCTAGAAAATAGAAGCTAGAAAATAGAAGCAATCAGTAAGGTATTCTTGATTTTTCTAGAGCAGCTATCAACCTGAAAAATGTTTGGAATTTGGAAGTTGGATAGTATATAATCAGAGTAGGGTGTAAACTTAGTGCCCGTTCACCTATCAGCTTCTTTCTGATTTGTCTCAGCGAATCATAAAATCCAGATGTTTTTTGACAGGGAAATTTCCCATTTTCTAAGCCGCTTATCTAAACGTTTCTGCTGCGATTTCCCACCGAACACTGGTCGGTTTCGAATTGTTTCACATCCAAGAAAAAGTTTTCGAGTAAAGAAGCTGAGAAATTCCTTTGAACAATCGAATCCTACAAGATTCTAGATGATTTTTGTAGTGAAATGGAAATTTAAAACCAAAGTTTCAAAGTAAACGACTCTAGCCTTGGCTTTAGCAAGATAATCACGCAAAGATGAGGATGCACTTTGTACTCTCTTAAATCCTGTGAACCCCTTCTGGCAGCACAATTCCTGGTCGCAACTGTTTGGTGCTACGAGGGGAAATGGAAGAATTGAGTGCACCAGAGAGGGGGTGTGTACGGGATTCAAAGTGGGCACAAAGAACACGTCAATGGCCAGCTGTAGGCTGCGGCGTCAATGGCTGAAGTCCAGAATAGGCACAATTTGCTGACTTTGCGAACTAAGCTTTGAACAAGGATTTTGTTCTTTATTTTCCATAGAGCAAACCATGATTAGTTGTAATGCTTTTGATTAACTTGACCAAAAGTTGAAACCCAATTATTTATCAATGAACCCAATAATCAATGCACACTCTTCCCCCAATAATCAATGAACACTCTTCCCCATCACCCAGATCAAAGCTCTGCGACTGGGGGACATGCAGCAGCCGTAAAAAGGGATGTTTCCATAGGTTATTTGAGAACTTTATGGTAGCAAATGTCGCGTATAATGTTCTTTAGACAAAAGGACGTCTCTTCCCTTTTATATAAAGTAAATTCATTTTGAAAAGAAAAAGCAAAACTAATTTTCTCGGGACCGAACCCACGACTCCTCTTTCCCACTCTCGTTTTTCGTTCGCGATCTAACCACTCGGCCAAAAGAAACGGCATCTCGAAATTCGATCTGGACGTCAAGGAAACTGTTTGTGACAGACAGACAGACGGACAAACAGACAGACAGACGGACAAACAGACAGGCAGACGGACAAACAGACAAACAGAAAGCATGTAGCGACAGCGGAGAGGCTGTAAGTCTTCTTTCTTTAGATTTCTTCATTAAAATCACAGTTTAATCAAAGGAAAAGCTTTTGTTGCTTTACCCTGTTCGGGTACTTTAGGTACAACATTGTACCTTGTTTTTGGATTTTCGGAGCACTAGACAATACATTTTTGACAGTACTGTACTGTACTTTACTTCTACTAGATTGGCTCAGCCTGTTGGTGAGAAACTAGAAATACTAGAAACTACGGAAGAGACCTTTTTGGAGGGGGGAGGTTGGGAAAGCTGAGAGAGGAGAGAACTTTGTTTGACTCATACAGAGGTGCACTTTGTGCTCTTCGAATACCTTGTAAACACATTCTTTTTGGTGCACTTAATTTCTCGCATTTCCCGTTAAGTTATTAAGAAAAGAGTAAATCGGGGAAGCTTAACTTTATAAAATAGGAATTTTAGTCAGAGAAGTTGAATCATTGACTTTAAAAATCTCTCAAAAGGGTCTTTTTCATTGCAGATGACTTTAAAGACTTCAAAAACTACAGAAAAACGCCGAAATCTGATAAAAAAAGTTAGAATCCCGCATTTCTGCTATTTTTGGTCCTTTTCTTGAGATTTCGGCATTTTTTGGGGTTTTTCTTTGGAAAATCGATTTTCTAAGGGTTACGGTAAGTCTGGGTAAATAAGTTTTGGTGTTGTCTGCGAGAGAGAGGGACAGCTTCTCGATTTCCCCTCCAACTGCCTTGCCTCAATCTCTTCCGGACTCAGCGATCCATCGTGAATCTTCACCTCATCATACCCACTTTCTCCATCCATGTTTGGTTGTGTGTTGGGAAGGATGATTTGGCCTCGCACAAAACAAGCCCTTTCAAATGCGCTGAGAATCGAAAAGAAGACGGGGAAATGAGATGTGGAAAAGAGAAATGCGGAAGAGGGGAAAGGGAGAGAAATACTAGAAACTAGAATACTAGAAAGGGAGAAGAGACCTTTTCTGTTTCCTCTTACCTGATAGAGTTGTCCCATGGTGGTCATCGTTTGTGGAATGACGAAGAAGAAAGGGGCGTAAAGGAAATATGACAGGTAAAGAGGATAACAACTAATTTTGAGGCCTTCTCGACGATTACCATGAATTTAAAAAAGATGGACCAATCATTACTTTGGCTCAATCACATTTCACATCAAAAACTCTGAAACATCAAATTTTTTAAAAAAAAGTCTGCCACAATAGCCTCAACTTCTCCATAAAGCCTTGATATTAGGTATTTGGGACTTTAGGTACAACATTGTACATTGTTTTTGGATTTTCGGAGCACTAGACAATACATTTTTGACAGTACTGTACTGTACTTTACTTCTACTAGATTGGCTCAGCCAGTTGAGGAGCTACTAGGGATATTCTAAGAAACAACAAGCACTTTAGGGTACAGTGCTAACTGCTATATCCTAGATACGGTCTATACTCAACTCGATCTCGAAGACTTTCGAGGTACGAAAAACCGAAAGCACTTGTAGAGGAAGAGATTCGAACAAATAACAAATGATTCAATTTTCAGCACAAAGTACACTAAACTTTTAGTGTACTTTGTGCTGCTCTTGTAAACACCCCTTTTCTGGCGCACTGCAATTCTTCCATTTCTGTGTTCGTTGATTACCAATAAAGTCAAATAGAGCAGGCAGGCTAACCCCCATTAATTCGATTGGAACTGTTTTGAAGTTAAACTTTTTGAAACATGAATTTTTAAGCTGAAGAGTGATGTGAAAAGTGACAATTTTCTAATTTTAAAGCCATTTTTCAGTTTGTTGGTTACGAGGAGGGTTGCTGGTCGACAGTGGGCAGAGACGACACTGTCCCAATGCAAATCGTTAGCATCGGTCATGGTTGTGAACATGTGGGTTTGGTTAGGATTTTAATGCCGTAATTTTGTCTCTATTTTTACCCAATTAATCTACTTTTTATAAATTTCGATATCCTTTGTGAACTCACACAGAAACAGATTAAAAAAAAGAAAGATTTGATAAAAATATCGAGTCAAGATTACGGTAGAAATGAGGAAAGAGGGCAGGGTTTAGGAAATGAACTATTTGTGAAATAAACTGTAAACCCGGACCAAATCCAAGCCTCGAAAATTACCTACGATTTACCCATTCATATTGCCAATCTAAGATCAAATCCTCCCTGTCTTCTGTTGACCGTTTAAAAAAGCGAGTTTCAACTTGTTCACGATTGAATCGAGTTCAACGGAAATAATGGAAGATCTATTTTTCTCTATTTACTTTACAGCAGCTCTAACAATCGAGTTTTACTTTGTCAAAAGACGAGATTCTGTCAAAAGTATCCCAGTCTTTCGCAGCTTATAATGAGTAATCTCTAGGCTGTGTAATCGTAATTTCATTTTTGCTTGAAAACATTCAAAGTCTTGTACCAAAGGTGAAATCAAATCCAAAAGATAAATAATGGTACAGCTCTAAAACAGCTTTCATTGTGTAAAAGAGAGAAGAGTTTCGGCTTCTACAAAGTGAGCTCACTATCAGTTAATTGACAAAGCGAATTCCAATTATTTGAACTT